GATGGTTTTTTTTTCTTTGTTTTTTTTTTTTTTAAAGATCTTAGAAGAGGCGGGATGCTAGGCCTCGGGAGGTGCCTGTCGTTGTACTCAACCAGTGGGGAGATCAGATGGCCTGTGATAGGCCCGAGGACAGTCTCCTCACGGGGGCATCATTCGTGAACTTGTTTTATTGTCCCAATAAGATCGCAAGTAGAGCCCTACAGCCAGACCTTGTCTCTACACCTAGACCTACACCAACCCGCGCATTCGGAGGGTCTCAGACAAGTACGCCCGGGGCGCTTCCATAGGGACATCCAGAATTCTCCAGGACGACCCGGACACAGGAGGGGTCACAGATATGTGGCCATTCCCGACCTGTATCACATCTAGCAGACTCTATGGGTGTCTACCACCCTTCTACTATCAAGGCGACAACCCACCCCCCGCTGCCTAAGATGAGACCCGTACCCAGAGACGCTTCCCCAGATTCACACCCCAATCAACCCCCTCAATGGGAACGCAGACAGGTACGACCCCGGATGAAGCCCAGCCCGCAAGCATCGTAAGGTGGACATGAGGCCCGCCCTTGGGAATCGTATATACCTAAAACCCAACCCCTACCAGCACTCAAGGGGGTGTAGAGATCGGTGCCGTACTGGGGGCAGAATCGTACAATGTAAGTATGGACTCTCGCTGGTGTACCATGACGTCAGGAAACTACCATGGCACCCCTTCGCACCCATGACACACCAGCGGAGCAGTGCATACGAATGGGACGGCGCACACAGACAGGCCCACAATCTCTACACTAATTCCTACCCCTAGCCTAGACCTAAGACCCCTCCCTACAAAACCGAACTCCCCTACCCCGCCCACGGTGAGTACACGAGACATGACCCAGAGATTGCAGGACCACACACCACACACAACCCACACAGTCGTGCTTTTTTTAATGTATGGTAGATATGACAACAGACAACACGGCCTTGCTAAGCTCTCCGTTCAGGTGGATCGATGCGACTAGGGTCGGGACGGTCACCGTAGTAGCGGTCATGCCATTGGGTGTCCATGGCTGAGTGGGTGTGTAGAGTGGGTTTTATGACTGTGTCAGTCAGACAACACGGCCTTTCTCAGACTTACTACCGTTCTTGTCAGGGGTTTGGACCGGCACTCTGCTAGGGTTGCATAAAAAAAATAAAAAAATAAAAAATAAAAAAGGATTGGAAGGTTCAAGTTGGTGCGAGTAAAGTCGACCGCATTTCTCTCTCAGGGATGGGTATCGCCGTATCGATTACTCTGAGCGATGTGGTGAGTGATTATCCATCAGCCAAATGCATCCTGGGCAGACTGTCGTGGTTCAGCCTCCTGATGGGTCGGTGAAAGTCCGATGAGACAGTCTCTGGCACGGTCATGCATTTTTTGAGTGTATAACGAATATGACAACACACACACACACACACACACACACACACACACACACACACACACACACACACACACACTCGTCAGACCACCCCAAGATTAAGTACTCAAACAGCCCTTCCCTCGAGGCCTGCTACCAGCATACTACAACCATCGACTAAGTTAAACCCCTTGGGTGGTACGCAGGCAGTGTCTGTAATAGTACCATGCGTCAGCCCAAGGGGGGGGACCCGGTGCGAATGGCAGTAAATCGGTCGACGCGCCCGCTTGTGGTCTTGCGCAAGAGTGCTGGCTCAAAGAATTGAACCTGCGCCCTAATACCACAAAATGCGCATTTCCAACCAGTGCCACTGAGCCACTAGCCATTCACATATTATTCTGTTTTTTTTTTGTTTTGTTTTGTTTTTTTTTTGTGCTTCGTATCCGCCTTGAATGGATGGTGGCGCCAGGCCTCCAAAAAAAAGAAAGCGCTGAACGGCTTTTTGCTTTTTATCAGCGTGCAGCAGAAATCCCTAGTGGGGAAACGAGGCTTGGACGTACTGGTGGTTTAATGAAATGAATTCTGAATGAAGCTTCCATGAAGTTTCCCTTGGCCGCCTTTGAGAAGTTCCGTCTACCCTTGGCTCACAAAGTTTCTACACCCATGTGGTCATTGTTGTTGCTTGTTTGTTTGTTTGTTTGTTTGTTTTGTTTGTTTGTTTGTTTGTTTGTTTGTTTGTTTAAAGTAAGTTTGTTTGTTTGTTTGTTTGTTTGTTTGTTTGTTTGTTTGTTTTTTAACCCCAAGAGGAGTCGGAATCAATATTTAAAACTTGGAAGAGCAAAAGAGCAGGCAACTAGAGGCATGACAGGGATTTGATGACATGGTGCTGATCACACTGTAGGGTTGATTTTGCTGTCCCCAGATATTATGTGCAAAGCAACAGCGACAATAAATATAATACTGCTCAAATAATGATTGTCATAGGGAGGGACTAATG